GGGCAGGGGTACCTTTACCTAATAATAATAGTAGTAGTAATAATAATAATAATAATAATAATAATAATAATAATAATAATAATATATTTATACCCTACCCATCTGGCTGGGTTTCCCCAGCCACTCTGGGTGGCTTCCAACAAATATTGAAATACAATAGTCCTTCAGATATTAAAAGCTTCCCTAAACAGGGCTGCCTTCAGATGTCTCCTAAACGTCTGGTAGTTGTTTTTTCCTTTGACATCTGGTGGGAGGGCATTCCACAGGGCAGGTGCCACCACCGAGAAGGCCCTCTGCCTGGTTCCCTGTAACCTCACGATGGGGGTGGAGATGCTCCTTCAGATATCTGCAAAATGTGTATTTCAAGAATGAAGACATTTGAAAGCAGTCGTTCGCATATTTTACATTTAAAAAGTGTAGAAAGATTTTACTAAATGCATTCCATTTAAATGCAGACTTTTGAGAACTGCCTGTAAGCCTAGCGTACTTTGGACATCTCCAGAATCTCATAGGTGAATTCTCCTTACTCCTCGACACCTTTTTATGGCCTCACTGATAACCTTCAGCTTAAGTCAGTGATTTAAGTCTTTGTGGGCAGCCTATATTTCCAGCTTTCTCTAACCTTAACAGTTTGCTGTTGTTATTATTGTTCTTTATACCCCACCTTTCCCCCGACTGGGACTCGAGGTGGTTTACAGATAAAGCCTTGCCCACTGTTCTCCAGTCAGTCTCACTCTCTGCCATTGCTCTCTTCATTTTTATTTTCATCACCTTTGCCTCCCTCAACTGTAGCAGAATAGGCCTATTTATGTTCCAGCCAGTCTATCCTCCAACCTTTCAGATTTAGGTGGCAAGGAATTTCCCCCATCACCATACCCCCTTTCCAATCAAATGAGCAGCTAAGAAGTTCTACCCAGTAACCCAATCAGAGATGCAATTTTGCAACCTCTCTCACTGTATTTTAAGAGAACCCTGTTTTCCCAGGTCAACCTAACATAACTAAATGGCAGCCAACTGTCAGCCATCAACAGATTTGACCCTTTACCTCAGGCATAGGCAAACTCCGGCCTTCCAGATGTTTGGGACTGCAATTCCCACCATCCCTGACCAGTGGTCCTGTTAGCTAGGGATGATGGGAGTTGTAGTCCCAAAACATCTGGAGGGCCGAGTTTCCCTATGCCTGCTTTACCTGATCCTACATGCACATACGTTGTATCAAAACGAAATCCTGCTCCAGCAAACACATTTTAAAAGGTGATTTCCCCACAACCAGTGAAGCTGGAATGAGGCTGAACTAGCTGCTCATTCCATCCCTATCACCTGCAAAACCACATGGGGCACCACAGCCAATAGTTTCTTTTTTTTAAAAAAAGATGGGCAAATGGAGCTATAAGAACAAAATTGTTACCAAGAAGAACAGCTGGGAAAGAAAGTGTATACATGTACAACAATTATCAAAAATTGCTGACAGAAGATGCAATTCAATAGCCACAGAAAAGCACAAAGTGGTGCTAGGTAGTTTTGGCTCAGTCCTTATTTTCAGGTTTGGGGGAAGAAAATACGTCATTGCCAGAATATATGAGTTGAACATGAAATAACATATTACTACAACCTTTTGAAATAAATAGATTGGTCTTCAGTAGAATAGTAATAATTATTTACTAATGAGTTAATGCAGGAAACTTTTTTTAAAAAGGAAAACTTTCTTCATACCCATAATGGGGTAAAGAAACTACTATAAAACATTAAAATGCTATTAGGCATTTTGAAATACATTTAGGTTAATTTATATTAATGGCCAAATAAATTATTTTTCATTTGTTACTGTACAAATAAATAGAGCAAGCCCATCAGTAAGTCCAATTAACACATTATCCATTGGTTACATAATGAATAAAATTAGGTTAGCCTGCATTATGGTAAGCAGAAATTCTTGGGCTGGAGCATTGTTTTTGGTAAAATATTGCTTGAGGACAATTTAAGTGTTTGAGTTTTAACAATAAGTTTTCACTCAAATGACATGCCCATCAACATTCTGCCTTAGTGAAAATTTGAGGCTCATTTGGTCATTGAAATGTTGGAGGAAGCATAATGATTAATATGTGCTCGATAATAAACCTTTTCATGAGTCTGACCAAACTGCGGGAGACAGTGGAAGACAGAGGTGCCACCACCGAGAAGGCCCTCTGCCTGGTTCCCTGTAACCTCACTTCTCACAGTGAGGGAACCACCAGAAGGCCCTCGGTGATGGACCTCAGTGTCCGGGGGGGGGGGGGTCTGAACAATGGGGGTGGAGATGCTCCTTTGGGTATACTGGGCCTGTTACCTGCTAAAAGCGATGAGCAATTGTTGGCATCCGTCTGCCTCGAGAGACAATGGAGTGCACTTCTGGGGGTGAAATCAAACTGCTGGAGAATCACAGTGCCTGCTGTGATTGCAGAGACCAGTAGCTTGTAACTATTGTTTCTGCTATGGAAGTGAGAGCTGGACCATAAAGAAGGCTGATCGCCAAAGAATTGATGCTTTTGAATTATGGTGCTGGAGGAGACTCTTGAGAGTCCCATGGACTGCAAGAAGATCAAACCTCTCCATTCTGAAGGAAATCAGCCCTGAGTGCTCACTGGAAGGACAGATTCTGAAGTTGAGGCTCCAAGACTTTGGCTACCTCATGAGAAGAGAAGACTCCCTGGAAAAGACCCTGATGTTGGGCACAAGGAGAAGGGGACGACAGAGGACGAGATGGTTGGACAGTGTTTTCGAAGCTACCAGCATGTGTTTGACCAAACTGCGGGAGGCAGTGGAAAACAGGAGTGCCTGGCGTGCTCTGGTCCATGGGGTCACGAAGAGTCGGACACGACTAAACGACTAAACAACAACAACAATAAACCTTTTAAAAGAACACTAAAATGGTCACATATTTATTCATGGTTCTTGTGGTGACATCACACTTGCTCTCTCAACTTACATGGACAAACAAGGCCAAAGCAGACAAAAGTAGCCTTAATCAACTGCTGCATAATCTGCCCCTTCTTTGATTTCTCTCTACAAGTTTGTTGTGCAACTGAATATTACAGTCATGGACTGAAGTTCTTTCTGCCTTTCTGATTCTCCCCTGCATGCTCTTCTTAGGTGGGTGCAGTTGGAAGTATCTGGTTAGAAAAGGGAGGTGCAGATGTAATGTGTAGGGAGGGAGAGAAGAGTGGTGTGATTTTTCATAGGAGAATTTTAACCCCCACCACAATTTCCCCATAGCACACTCACACACTCTTTGTCAAGTTGAAAATGCACCGCTCTTGTAAGAAATTTCAACTCAGATTCAGTTTTTTCACAGTACACAGATTTACCAGGGTATGTTCTTACCAGAACCAGTGTTGCCTTAAAGGAAGTATTTTTGCCTGTGTTTGCATGACCCCAAAGGTTTAAAATGTAGGGAGAAGATTACACAAAAAGGGAGCCTTTCTTATCTTTCTTTTTTCTTTTTTGGATGAACCATTTCCTCCTAGCTGAGAAGCAGCCAGAGGGCAGTTGAAACACAGCCATGGGGGAAGTAGTTAAAAATAAAGAATGCAAGGCCAACATCCTGATCTGCATTAAAAAATGAATGATGATCAGTTTTAAGTGGCTATTCATCATTCCACTTTGATTGGCATACTAAATATTCCACAGAATGACAGTGTTGTCGGCTAATGCCACTCTCTGCCTGACTCTGGTCTTATCAATCCCAAGAGGTCCATCGTGCCGCAATGCTCAGAGTCAAGAAAGGAAGAAAAACAGCCAGCGTTTCATGCCTGCTCCGTGGGGCTTTTCAAACTTGTGCTGCCGCAAACCGCAAGAAAGATTGTGACGTGCAGAATGGCAGTGCTAGAATGCTATCCACTTTTTTTTTTTACTTAATATTCTACATGTCCAATTGATAGAAATGACAATTCTACCTGTGAGGTGACAAGATTAATTTCCCAGTGGAAATAAATAATTTCTTGCCAGCCGACATTTTATTGACTTGTATCAGGCATTCTCTCCTCTATTTGACTTTGCTCCTCGTTCTCCTTTGCACAGCCCAGCTTTTTGTAATTACGTTGGAGATACCAACGCCGTGTTAGATTTTATAACCTTTAGCACAAGGTATGATAAGGCAGAAATATATGCTCCATTAACTGGCAAAGGCACAGGTGTTACAAAATCCTTTGTGTGTGTGTGTGTGTGTGTGTGTGTGTATAAAACCCAGTGACTGACACAGATACAGTAGTCACTGGGTTATATATCTCCGAACAAAAGAGAAGTGGCTGTTCAGAAAGTTCACCTGACCAAGAGACATTAAAGAAGTAGCTGAAGGTAGAATTGGTTGGGCCCTTCTGAGCTCCGAGGTTGTTAGCAGGTGCCTGAACAAGCCAACCCCACTCCAGACACTACAGAACCATAGCTGTTTACTTTTTTTTTTAAGGGAAATTCCCTTATTCCAAATAGGATTCCTCGCAAGAAAAGGGAAAAGTTGACAGCTATGTGCAGAACTCAGACAGCCTGGTCTGGCTGATAGCATCAGTCATTCATATCTACACAGACAGAAATAAATGAATTTATGTCCCAGCATGCACCATCTGTTAGTGGCTACCCTGGTTTTTCTTGTGAAAGTTCAGTTTGGTGGCAGACCTTCTTGATTAAGCAAACAAACTCTAGCCCCCCTCCCCCACAACAAAAACCATTATCTTGGGGTGGTGGAAGTAATAGTAGCCCATTTTTGCATAGCTGTGATTTGGACAATATCATATCCACCCGCAAACAAAAGACAGCAGCAAAAACTGCTGCGATCTTTCTTTTTGTGTTTTATTTTAATTTGAAGTTTAAGAAAATATTTAAAATATGCCTGGTATCATCATCATCATTATTATTATTTGAATTTATATACTGCCCTATACCTGGAGGTCTCAGGGCAGTTCACAGAACAAAATCAAAATATAAAACCCCAAAATATATAATCATAATAAGAACAGCAACACAATAACTCAGCGTTAAGCCAAGTTCCATGGTTACAGTCTTTATTGGGATTAGAACAGCTAATAGGTAGGCACATAAAATTAACACAATCTTGGGACCACTGTGAAAGTATACTCACAGCATTTTCTTTATATGGAGAAGAGGAAACTGGTCCTGGCAGTTTGATTGGCTGCTGTCCATCATGTCACCAAGAAACCTCTCCCCACAGCAGAGGATCTAAATTTCACTGTAATCCCAAGAGAAACCCCTCTGATATACGGTAAATGTTGTTGTTTCAAAATTGCAGAGAGGTGGCTATGGCTGAGAATGGGCTTATGAAGGTCTCCAAGTGAGCTTCATATCTGAGCAAATGGTTGAATGCTGGGCTCCCTGTTCCAAGTCCATCACTCTGTCTCTTTTAAGATGGATTGTTTGTCCTTTTCCAAAGCATCATGAAACAATATCAGCACAGAAGCCGCCACCGTTCCCTTCGGTATTTTTTCTCTTACTTCTGTGCCTCCTTTCTCCTCTTCCCTCTTTAATCACTTCTCCCCCAGGGAAATCTTCCAATTCTGGCACACTAGAAAGGAAACATTTGACCCGGATCCCCACAGTTCGGTTCCCCTCCAATTGGGTCCCTCAAATAATTGCATGCTGCAATTCTGCCATGAGAACGACAGTGTGCTAGTGACAAACTTTTGGAAAATGTTATATAATGAGATGAAAAAGATGTTGAAATATACATTTACTAAAAAAAAACAGAAGCATTTTTACCTGGCATTGTAGGGGAGGATATTAACAGACAGGATTGTAAGATGTTTTTATTTGCAACAACGGCAGCAAGAATATTATTGGCACAAAAATGGAAGCAAGAAGAATTACCAACGAAAGAAGAATGGCAAATGGAATTAATGGACTATGCAGAATTAGATAAATTAACAGGAAGGATTCGAAACCTGCGGGACCAGAGATTCTTAGAAGACTGGAGTAAATATTTGAACGATTTGAAAAGCAATTATAATAAACAGATTACGCTAGTAGGATTGCAAGAAATTCTGTAAGGAGGACTTTGTGAAATATTGCAAGGAAAACGATGAAGAGAATTATTAGTTAATGACAATTAAAAGTAATAGGGAAATTAAGAAACGCAGAATAAGTGATAAAGAACAGAAAATCTTCAGAGGTTGTTGACTGAAGTCTAAAATATTGTATGAGATGAGAAGTTATGTTAAATGATTGTTGAAAATGATACACACACACACACACACACACACACACACACACACACAGTGGTACCTCGGGTTACATACGCTTCAGATTACAGACTCCACTAACCCAGAAATAGTGCTTCAGGTTAAGAACTTTGTTTCAGGATAAGAACAGAAATTGTGCTCTGGCGATGCAGCGGCAGCAGGAGGCCCCATTAGCTAAAGTGGTGCTTCAGGTTAAGAACAGTTTCAGGTTAAGAACGGACCTCCGGAACGAATTAAGTACTTAACCTGAGGTACCACTGTACACAAAAGAGAAAGACAGTGTGCTGCCCTAATCCATTTTCCTCTCCCGTTTCTGGTGTGCAGATGAAAGACAAGAATTGGGGCCCTCTTGCTGTGCTTCTTTCAGAAAGGCAGTCTGTGACACAAGGCTCTCTGCTTCCCTCACCTGTGCCTTCCATGCCCCCTGTTCCCTGAGAGGTCACGTACTAAAGGAACAGTCACTGCAACTTACTTACTTCACCAAACCTTTATTAGGCATAACAAATATAGGCCATCATAAAGTTCCATTAGGCTGTTCCCTCTACAGATGTAGGATGAATGGCAGCATTCCAGCTTTGGGATGAAGCTGAAGATGTGCAGTACTGTATAACTCTGCCATCAGTTGCTGCCATAGAATGTACTGGGGCAAGAAAGTCTTAAAATATTTTGAATTGCTGCTCAGAACTTCATCAAAGCTGCTCAGAACTTCATCAGATAAGTGCTGGAGATGCAAAGAGGTGGAGGAACATTCTTTCGTATGTGGTGGACTTGTAAAAGGGTAAAAGAATACTGGGAAATGATCCATAATGAATTGGGGGGGGGAATGTTTCAAAGTACTTTTCCAAAAAAACAACAACCCAGAGTCCTTTCTGTTGAGGATAATTCAGACGGAAATTCTCAGGTGTCAAAAAAGGTTATTTATGTATGCCACTACTGCGGCCCATGTTTTGTTAGCCCAAAAATGGAAAATGAGCGAGGTCCCAACTAAAGAAGATTGCCAACTTAAACTGATAGAATATGCACAACTTGCAGACCTAACATATTGAATAAGAGAACAAGAAGAACATACGTTTAACGAAGATTGGAAAATGTTTATTGAATATATGGAGGAAAATTATGTATATTTGAAAACGTGGGCAGCATTAAGATAAATTCAACTGTGTAAATAGGTTTTGATGGATGTAACAATGGAATATTGAATGGTTTAGTTTATATAAAATATGCAAGGATTTATGTTATGCAAAATGAACCATGGAAAGAGAAGAAGGGAAGTCATTGATATTTTAAGGCTGTTTAAATGAATATTCTAAAATGTAAAACCAAAAATTTAATAAAAAATTTAGAAAATAAAAAATAACTCCATCAAAGGACTGCCGCAACAAAGTACATGAGTCATTTTCATCAAAATTTGAAAGAAGAGTAGAAGACTACTCTTGACATGTGTCAAATTTCAACATTTTAATACGAACAAGTTATAGCTGCTCATCAAAATTAGCCAGCCAGCACTACCACACAATCTCTCAAGTTGGTAGGGTGTCCTAACCAATCATTTGCATGGCAGGAACCAACCCTTAGGGTCTTGATTCTTATGAGTCTCTAAGGCCAGACCTTAGATCTTAAGAGCAAGAGGTCCATCTCCTTGCTCTCTGCTAGCACACCCGCTTGCCCTGCCCCACAGGCTTGGTGGATGGGCTATCCATGTTCTTGGATCAGAGTTTTCATCATTGAAAACAGATCTTTTTGCCAATGCAATAGTCAACGATCCGTTGGCCAACTGCTGTCAACACAAGAAGAGATAAATAGCTTTTGAGCAGATGTACATTAGAGGAGAGCTGGACACAGAAAGAGAGAAGAAGCCAGAGCATATGGTTTCAGCCTGTATCCAGAAATATGGAAATCATATTAAATATTATCCAATGTACTAAGAAACAAGCTATTATCACAGAAAACATATCTGAGAACCCAACCAAAAATATTGGGGGAAAGGCAATTGAGGAGCTAAAGCTACAGTGGTTGTAGCTGTAATTTGAAGAGATTGCCTTTCCCCCAATTTATGTATTCATTATTTAAAGCACTTTTACCGCATTCTCCATCTTACAGATAAATAAAAATGAGAACACACTCTTTGCCCTCAACCATCTAATCAAAAAGACATGAAACAAAGGGGGAAAGGGAGGGAGAGAAAGGAGGCGAAAGCAATTTTAGGCACTAGTTCTTAGTGACAGTTCTTGGAATGACCAGCTGAGATGGAAACAGTTCTGGTTGCCTGATGGAATGACAGCTGTTGGAGACAGCTGAGGAACAGCCAAAAACAGCAGAACCAAGGGGCTGGTCTTGTTTCTTTTCATCCCTCTGCTGCAGCCTGATGGAATGGCTGCCACTGGTTAACAGATGGTGACGGAGAGCCAAAGGTTCTGTCTGTCACCACAGCCAATGGAATGGGTCTCCTTACATTTCAATATTTTCTGAGGAGGCTATGCTCTGGATCTGCACACCCACTACAGAGACTGAAATGAAAGCTACTCAAATGGGGTACATTTTTGGCCAGGGCATGTATATATTATGGAATACAGGAAGTCCATGGGCTTAGATATCTGGCAATATTTGAAAAAATAAACATGGGCTTTTGTTCTGTTCCAGGTTCAGGAAACTAACCATGGTCTTTTGGTGATAAGGGGGCTGGGTTTAACCTCTGTCCTTCTAAACTTTTGTGTGTTTGATTTGATGGAGTTTGGGTTTTGTTTTTGTTTTTTTGTTTTTTTACAATACTAAATAAATTAGTACAGTGGTGCCTCGCAAGACAAAATTAATTCGTTCTGCGAGTTTTTTCGTCTTGCGAAGTACGGTTTCCCAAAGTCTTCAAAAACCTCAAAAAAGGCTACCACACCGCGTGCTATGAGTTGCTCCTCGAAGTCACCCTGGGTATTAACGGTTTTAAGAAAAAGGAAACAAACTTGCAAGACGTTTTCGTTTTTTTTCGTTTTTCATCTTGCGAAGCAAGCCCATAGAGAAATTCGTCTTGCGAAGCAACTCAAAAAACGAAAAACTCTTTCGTCTTGCGAGTTTTTCGTCTTCCGAGGCATTCGTCTTGCGAGGTACCACTGTACCTTTGAAGGTGACCCAGAAACTACAATTAATCCAGAATGCGGCAGCTGGGCTGGTGACTGGGAGTGGCCGCCAAGACCATATAACACCGGTCCTGAAAGACCTACATTGACTCGCAGTACATTTCCGAGCACAGTTCAAAGTGTTGGTGCTGATATTTAAAGCCCTAAACAGCCTTGGCCCAGTATACTTGAAGGAGCATCTCCATCCCCATTGTTCAGTCCAGACACTGAGGTCCAGAGCCGAGGGCCTTCTGGAGGTTCCCTCACTGCGAGAAATGAGGTTACAGGGAACCAGGCAGAGGGTAGTGGCCTATGGAATGCCCTCTCATCAGATGTAACAAGGAAATAAATAACTACAGTGGTGCCCCGCAAGACGAATGCCTCGCAAGACGGAAAACCCGCTAGACAAGAGGGTTTTCCGTTTTGGAGGTACTTCGCAAAAGGAATTTCCTATGTGCTTGCTTCGCAAGACGAAAATGTCTTGCAAGTTCCTGCGGGGTTTTTTTCCTTCCCCCCCCCTTTTTTCCCAAGCCACTAAACCGCTTATCAGCTGATGGCTAAGCCGCTGAACAGCTGATCGCTAAGCCGCTTATCAGCTGGTCGTTAAGCCGCTTATCAGCTGATCTTTAAGCCGCTTAACAGCTGATCGCTAAGCCGCTTATCAGCTGATCCGCTAAGCCCGCTAAGCCGCTAATACTGTAGCGCTAATCCGCTAAACCGCTAATGGGCTTGCTTCGCAAGACGAAAAAACCCGCAAGACGAAGAGACTCGCGGAACGGATTCTTTTCGTCTTGCGAGGCACCACTGTATCTGACTTTTAGAAGACATCTGAAAGCAACTCTGTTTAGGGAAGTTTTTAATTTTTGATATTTTATGTATGGG